AGGGCTTGAGAAAACTTTCTGGTAGGGAATGAAAATAAATATTCCATGTCTTAATTGTAATGATAATTGTCGTAAGTTTGTATATTTGTCAAGATTTATACCTAAAAGGAATGAATTTTGGGTTAGTGGACTGGTTCAAGTGGTAGAGTCTACCTAGCAAGTGCATGGCCCCGAGTTTAAGCCCCACTACCACAAAAAAAAAAAAAAAAGACACTTACTCTATGTAAACGCAACCTCAATATACCTAACTCTAAAAAAAAAACTAAAATGAGATTAAAAAAAAACAACATGAAATTTGACTTAACTTGAATCTAGACTCTCTGATTCTCTTTCAAATTTCCCTGAATTCACAATTCCTGAACTCTGCAGAATTGAGCACTCCTAAACCAAGGCAAGGTTGCACTGACAATAATAAAGCTCTCACATTGATAAATTTATACTGAGTGTTTTAAAACATTCAATGTATTGTTCTTCATATTTTTCCATTATATACAATCAAAGATTGTGTTTAATTTGGGATAATGTGTGTATGTTTTAAAAGAATATATTTACTTGATTCAAAAATCAAGACTGCTGGGCACTGGTGGTTTACACCGATAATGCTAGCTATTCAGGAGGCAGAGATCAGGAGGACTGTAGTTCAAAGCCAGCCCAGGCAAATAGTTCACCAGACCCTTTCTTGAAAAAACCCATCACAAAAAAGGGCTGGCAGAATGGCTCAAATGGTCAGTGCTTACCTAGCAAACATGAGGCCCTGAGTTCAAACCCCTGTATTGTCTAAAAAATCAAGACTAAAAAAGTATGCAGTGAAATATCTTGCTTTTTCCTGTCCCTCATCCACTCAGTTTTCTTCCTCCCCAAACAATCGTTGTTACTAGTGTCTATGTTTCCCCCCAAAATACTGTATTCTTGCAAATATAAGCATTCAGGAATTATTTTTCCTTTTTTACACACAAATGGTAGCCATATTATCAGCATTATTATGCATCCCAATGTATTCATCTAACAATATTCCTCAGTATTTTTCCACATCAATACATATGGAATGTTTTTACTTGTTTTGGATCTGAAATGCCCCCCCCCCCACAGATTTGGTCTCTAACCTGTGGCACAACTGGGAGGTAGTGGAACCTTTCAGGAGGTAGGGACAAGTAGAAGGCATACCTTGGCCCCTTCCTTTCCCTTTTTGCTTCCTGGCTGCCATGAGGTAAGCAAGCTTTCTCTGCCATTCACTCACACCATGAAATACTATGCTGCTGAGGATCCCAAAACAACAGGCCAACCAAATGTAGACTGAAATTTCCAAATCTGAGCCAAAGTGAACCTTTCCTCGTTTAAAAGTTCCTCCTTTAAAAGTTGATTATCTTGGGTATTTTTCACAGTGATAAAAAGCTAATGCATTGCTCTTTGTAGCTGTGTTACAGCCATTGTATCCATTGTACAAATGTACATGGTTACTTTGCATATCAGCCCCCACTGACAGACTTTTAGTGTGTTTCAATATTTTATTATTAGAAGCAATGCTACAATGAATACCCTTAACCCTATGTTATTTCACATATGCTTTAAGTATGTGCAAGCATTTCCTAGAACTACATCCTTTGAATCAGAGTATATGTATTTGTAAATATGATCTGAAACATCAAATACCCTCCAAAGAGAATAGAACAACTGACATTGGCATCATCCAGGTACAAGATTATTACTTTGTTAAAATACTTTTTTGCCAGTACTGGGGTTTGAACTCAGGGTTTTGGGCTTGATAGGCAGATACTCTACCATTTGAGCCAGCCTCCAGCTCTATGACAGAATTTCTTAAGACCATTATCAATAAAGTTTTAATCTTTGCCAAATTGCTAAATGAAAAAGTAGACCTTGCTATAATTTTGTTTTGTATTACTTTCATTATGAGCAAGATTTTACATCTTTCCAAACATTTCACAATAATTTATATTTCCTACACTACAAATAAGTTGCTAATGTCCTTTCAAAGTTGCCTTCATTAGCTATTGGTCATTTACTTTCAATATGAAGACCCTCTGCACATATTAGGGAAATTATACCTATGAGTGGCAAATATTTTCCTGTAGGTGATTTTCCTAAGTTTGCCTGTTGTGGCAAATCACACTTTAAACATCAATTCACTAATTGTATACATTAAGAATTATATCCTCACCATATTATCATCACTAAAACAGAGCACATACACTCATAAGGAGAGTGGTACTACTCATAATTATTTAGGTCAACAGTCGTGAAAAGGTTCCATCTTGGAAAACAGGGATAGATGATCTCCTAATCTATAGGCAACCACTTTTATTAATGTCCTAAGTATCTTTCAGCATGTCTTCATGTAGAAACAAGCTCGTATAAGTATACATTCTTATTCTCCTCCCCCACCCTCACCTCCAACTGTCCATACAAAATGTAGGAATACATAGACACTGTCATATACCTTGCTTTTTTCACTAAAGGGAGATCTATTTTGGAGAGCCTGCCATAAAGTATCTAAAAAGCTGCATTTATGCTGTATAGCATTCCACTATTTGCATCTACTGCAGTTTATTTAACCAGTCCTCTACTTATGGGCATTCGGGTTATTTCCAAGCTTTTGCTAAAACAATGTCATGGTAATAACCTTGTGCACATGGCATTTCATAAATGTGTAGGTTATGGGTAGAATAAATGCATAGCATGCTGTGCTAGGTCAGAAGGTAAATGTATTTATGGTTTTGAAAATATTACCCAAGTACCCTCCAGAAGGGTCGGACTACTTCTCATCTCTATTGGCTCTATGTGAGAGGTCCTCATTCATCAGTTTACCAACAGTGTATTGCCCGACTTTTGGACTTTCGATAATCTGATAGGGAAAAAAGGAATTTTAAGGTAATTTGAATTTGCATTCCAATTATCAGGAACAACAATAAGGATCTTTTATATGCTTAAGGACCATTTGTATTTCATATTCTGAGAACTATTTTTTTTTACTATAATACTGTTTGGGTTTTTTTAACTTTCTAGATATTATTTATATATTAAAGAGATTAACTGTTATATGAACTGCAAATATTTTCCCAGTTTTTCATTTGTCCTTTAAATTGTCTTATGTTTGATGGTGATTCTACCTTTCCTCCCTCTTTTCTCTCTCCCTTCTTACTTTGATCATGAAGAAATTTTTGGTTTCAGGTAGTGAATAATAAGCATTTTTCTTTTATGGCTTTTGGATTTGGGGTGAAAGGCCTCCTACTTCAAGATTATTTTGGAAGATATGGAGCTGCACTAAGCAGACATGCTTTTAAAAAAAGATTATATAACCCAAGCATAGGGTTCATGCCAGCTATTCAGGATATATAAATAGGAGGATTGTGGTCAGGCTGATCCAGGCAAAAATGCAAGAAAAATAACTAAAGCAAAAAGGCTAGAAACTTGGCTCAAGTGGTAGAGCACCCACCTAGCATGAATGAGGCCCTACTGACTTAAAACCCCAGTACTGCCAAAAAGGAGGAAGAGGAGGAGGAGGAGAGGGAGAAATGACTCAAGCTGAGTATGGTGGCACAGACAGAAGGACCTCGAGTTCAAAGTCATTCTGGGCTACATAGAGGTGAGACCCTGTCTCAAAAAAAAAAAAAGAGGAGTGGGAGGGAAGGGGAAGAGAGAAGTAAAGATAGGAGACTGACTCCCAAGCTGTGTATGGGTTGCTGACAGCCCCTAACTGCTATACCTCCTTTAGGCCTGCCTCAGCTTTAGAGCCTGAGCCAAGCTCTTCCCAAGCAGACACTAGCCAGTAACTGTGCAAGGGTGTGGTACATGGGCCAGGTATTTCTGTGTAGCACAAGGCTCCTCTCATAGGAATTTCTGCCCTACAGCTCCACATCACACTGGTAAAGTCTTGGTCAGGCCTGCAAAGCAGTGTTATACCACCCTTGCCCAGTCCTGCTTCCTACCATTTCTACTCAGTAAACCTTCTGCATCCCTAACTCCTTCTCAGAATCTCCTTCCCAGAGAAGCTAATAGGTACCAGTATGAAGAAATTCCCCACATTTTGTTCTGTTCATGATTAAATTTTTAAATCTTTGAACCATTTTGAGACTTGCCTGATCTGTGAGGTATGAATCTAACCTTATCTTTACACCGTTTATAGCAAAAAGGAACTCCATATATACATATATATGCATATATGTCAAGATAATTTCTTTTGAAACATAAATAAAAAAATCCAAGACATATTTACAGTCAGTGAGCTATTAAAAAAGTAAAACAGAACTCTTAACATAGCAGCTTTCATAAGAGAAGTGTAAGTAACTGAACTTGGTTCTGTATCAAAACTGCCTATGAAGTTTCTTGAGAGGGAATCCGGAATTACATGTACATGTATACAATTTTCTTGATTCCCTTGGTTATTCTGAGGAGCACTAAAGGTTTTAAAAAGATCTTTATTATTTAAAAGTTCTCAAAGGGAGTATATCTACTTTACTTAAAAATGTCTTATTAATGACAATCACTTTGCTCTAATAAGACATAAGGGTATAAGCATAAATGGAAAAATTTGTACTTACTCTGCAAATGGCACCAACTCAAGAGGCAGTCTGAAAGCAGAAAATGTGAAGGATAACTAATAGAAAAAGCTAAAACTGCTCTCTTCTAAAAAATGTATTTTTATGTCAAAGGTAGCAGATGGTAAATAGGAAAAATAAGTTTATAATAACAGAAAAGCTAGTACTCTGAGTTTTTAGGTTAGGTTTTAAAATCAGTTTCCCTACTAAACAAAAAACAACACAAGACTGCCTTGGCTGCTGCCCAAATAAACACGCTGCAAGTGAACCAGGCCCTTCCACTCCTCCCTCACTCCATACTGGAGGAAATTCAGTCTTGGTGCTGCATTTCTATCCAAAAGACCACTGTAAATTCACTTCTCAGCTAATACCACTGTCTGGCTTGAAAAGGGTATATCATTGCTAAATAAATAAACTTGCTAAAAATACACTCACACATATTTGAGGAGAAAGGAAATGTTTATTTGTCATTAACCTTTTGAATATAACCACCATAATTTCTGCAGGGTTACATTTAGTCATAAACTCGATTAATAACACTTGCAGGACTTCACAATTTTAAGGCTAAGGTTCCGACTAAGGTAATACAGTTATCGATTTAATATAAATGAAAGTTTTTTTCAAAAAAGGATAAAAGCAATCTGACTTCTAAAAGGAAGATATTAATCACTCAGAGTTTAGTAATGTAAGTATAATTCAGTACTACAAAGAAACAGAACGATCTCACAGGAGATCAGAAAAAAGCACCGCTATTTTCTTCTACAACATGTTTTGGTCATTAGCATGCTAGTATGAATAAGGCATCGTGTCAGGCACTGGATACAAAAAGTACAGCTAGGTGTGCAGAAGGAAGGCGGGAGCGGAGGCAGACAGAGCTCTCCAGGTGACACATCAGTCATCTTCTCCTCCGCAGAGCAGCAGCAGGGTTTTCTTATAGTCCCCAGATGTGTCGCCCTGAAACCCAAATGAACTCCATTAACTTCCATGACTCACAGAAGTCACAGGAAATAAAACACTCAGAAATATCTGGCAAGACATTTTATTCATGTGACTTTTCTCCCAAGTGGGTAACTTCTCTGTGTATGACTTTCACATCAGGAATATTACACGGGGTCATTCCTACCAAGGTAGTTTAACTTTCTGATTTTATCCTTTAAAGGCACAGTTTATTAAACACAATGAAGTATGTTCTTCTATCCAGTGACAGAGAGAACAGAGAAACCTTTATAACTACAATAAAATCAAGCTTTCCAAACAGACTCCAGCTTTCTATCACATAGTACATATCTGGCTATAGAGGGACAATGCTGGGGCCACCTGGATATTAGGGCTTTGGCTCTAAGACAGAAAGGCAGAACATGCTTTCCCCCGTGAAAGCATGCATGCACTGTTTGGGCTTAAGGACATGAGTGCATGAGCAAACTCTCTAGTGCCCTCCAGTCCATCCATTCCACACACATTAAATTAAAAGCTTTAGCTCAACTGAAATCCTGCTCCACGCATGGCCCACATTAACCTTTATCCAAAAGGCACTGGGGGTGGGAAGGGCGTGGCAGTCAAAAGAACTTCAGACAAATTTAAATAGAGGCTACAGAGTGACTGGCTCTTAAATCAAAATGATAGCATTTCCTTGGCTCCTTATTTACTCCACTGAGGACCTGGTGTCTGAACTTAGAACCAACACCAGAGACAATAAAGAAAGGAACAACTGATATGTAAGAAAAGAGGAACTCATGAAGATAGCTGGAACTGATAAAAGACAGAAAGAACATATTGTTATCATGGACAAGAGCTTGGGTTTGTTGAGTCATCTGTCACCACTACTAAATAATGTTCCTAAGTTCATTAAGAGCTTTGGCCACACCAGTACCCAAGCTATCACTCCATCCCTACTACAGAAAACATCCTGCTGAGCTTCAGAACTCCTATCTCCAATTAGACCACAACAAAATTTTAATTCAGCAAAAGAATTGGATTCATGCACCCGTGCTTTGCATACTCTGTATTAGTCTGACTTGGATATCTAAAGATAACTTACAGAAAAGATCTACTACCTTAATCATGGAATAAAGAGATGTGGCGAAATTCTTCCTGAACTCCTTCCTAATGTTAAACAGATCAATCTCACTCCTGGACACCATGACTCTGATGAGGGTGTGATCATCGGTCCCAGCTCCCTTTAAAAAAAGAAAAAGAGAGACACATTGTTTAAATACTTCAAATATAGCATCAAAAGCCCTAAATTGGACTAAATCAATAAGTCAATCAATTTAGTAGAAGTGGGCTACATGTTTTAAGAACATAAACATAATCAGAGATGGATGGAGATAATAACTAGAAAGATCAATTTTTTAAAAGATCTACTTACCTTCATAGCATAGTAAAGGGTCTCTGCAAGGTAGGCAGGTATGCTTCGAATTGATTTCACTAAGAAAATAAATAAGCAACGGTGGTCAGAGGCTATTCTTATGTGAAAAGGATGAAGTCATTAAAATTCAAATGCTGCCTCCTTAATAGCTCTCATTCTACAGAAGCACAAAAGTAGCAGGCCAAAATGCTGCTTATCTGCAAGTGACCAGATTCTCACTCACCAAGTATTTTTGTGGATACTGGCTTAGATTTCCGTAAAGGTTTGAGTTCTGCATAAGAAGGCATTTAGAACAAGGGGCAAAAGTTTTTTTCAGAGCCCCTTTGTTCTATGAGCACTTTTGGATATTGCAGTTTTGGCAGACTGGGTGTTTATCATGCCACAACCTTTTTCATCACCAATAAATTACACGAGCAGCATGCAAGTTTCCATTCCAAGATAGTCAAGCTAATGATACAAGATTACTACACTAATCTTTGGAAAATCTTGGACCATCTTTCTATATTATCTTCATATTCTTTAAAATCCATGATTCACATAAGCAGCATGGATTTATCCATTTCGGTACAAACGCTTAGAGAAGTTGACATTAGAAAAGTTTATCTTCTCTGAAAATGTGCATATCTGGTGTAGGTCTAAGTTGCTCACACCTCAGTCTTCTCAGCTTCAAGAAACCTATCATATAAATATTCCTTACTATACAAAGATAAAAAAAAAATCTTTCAATTCTCCCTTTTCTGATGCTTAAGAAAAAAAGCCACCAGTAACTAAAAAGGTCTTAATTTTTATGTGTATTCTAATTACTAAAGAACTGTCTAAAGGTTTTCTAGTACAAATATGTAAACTGCATATCCAAATGGGGGGCTACTCTTTTTTTTTTTTTTTCCTGTACCCTGTATTGGAATTTGAACTCAGGGTCTTCCCAGGCAGACACTAACACTTGAGCCCTGGAAGCCTACTTTTAATGTTGGTTCATACATACCTTTAGCTTAGTCTTCAGAAAACAAACAAACAAAATATGTCAAATATTCAGAACCAACACTAGACAGAGGCTCCCTTCAGACTCATGAAAACTAGAACCCATGGAAACTCAAAACAAGATTCTCTCTGGATTTGGAGAGTATATAAAACTACAATCACTTGCACAAACTCATTTCTTCAATTTTTCCAAATCATTCTGAATATTTAATTAAAATAAAACTCCAAACTGTTTCACCTGAAAGCAACCATTATCACATCTTCTATTACATCACAGATGCTCTGTTTCTAACCAGATGATAATTTCTCAATCAACCTTAAAGCTGTGAGGACAGTATTCCAAAGCACTCTAAAATTCCATAGGTGTTAGAAATAACATTTACAAGCCTCTGCAAAAATATCCACAACATTTTAGATTCACAATGAAATACTAACATCTTAATAAAACTCTGAATTGATTTTTTTTTTAAATCCTATTAGTATTTCATTAATTCAATAAATTAAACAGGCAATCACATATTTCCAACATCAAAGCAGACTTCTCAACTTGAAATTTAGGAATTTTCTTCATCCAGTGCTTCTTGTTTCATAAAGAAATATGTAATTATTTTCAGATTTAACCTCAACTGAATAAAATACCTCAGCTCTTATCACCATAAGTATTATGTGCATTATAAAATTACCTACCAACAGCAAGGAGTAGTTGCTCCAAATTACCAGAAGTCTCCCGGTCAATGGTTTCCTCAATTTGAAATCCTGATATAGTCATGTATTTATCAAACACTAGAGAAAACGAAAACGATTTCTTAATCATGTTAGAATTACTCTTTTCAGAAAGAAGATATTTATTGCGACCAGGCATTATCCTATGGAACACAACTTTCTCTTTCCTTGCTGACAGAACCTTTGTCCAGAGCCTTAATGTGTTAAATAAGCATTCTTTATTCACTGACTTCCCAGGCCCCTCACTACTCATACTCAATGAGACTTAAAGGTAAACATGTTGTAGGGGATTCTGAGAAGCCTTTCTTCTTCCTTTAAAAAAGTAGTCAACACATATGACTACTTTACCCTTTTCTTTCTGCTGTGAAAATGGTTATGTTTGGACCTACAGCAACCATCTCATGCTGATTAACTAACAAGCCTAAGAAAGAAAACCAAGACACTAACGAGCAGAAAAACAGAAAGATCCAAGATTCTACCAAATCAACCATGGAAATAAAGCCCGATTTCTAGTCATTACTAGGGTTTTTTTTGTCACTTGCCACTGAATTCATTCTCAGTGATATCACAAGAACTGAGTATCTGGAGACAAGGTCTTAGGTACCAATGTTTAGGAATAAGCCACTCCTTGGTGACCTATGACTTTTGAGAGTAACAAGGTAGAGCCCTAATGTCCCCCTCTACCATCTGATGGTGCGGGGTAGACTAAGGTACTCTTGTCTTGTAAAGGTTATAGTAGCAGCGAAAAGCATTATGAGATTTCTCTAGGTCACCAGAAAAGGAAAAGTACAAAAATGGATTCATGAAGCCAGTCCCACAAAAATATGTACCACGTTTTCTCTTATTTGTGGAAATCAGGGGGCCAAAAAACAAAAACAAGAACAAAATCAAGCTCACAAAAAATAGAGGAGAGAGAGAGAAGTAAGAAACAGCAATGGAAGAGTACAAATAATGAAAGTACCTTGTATTGCAGGTATGGAAATATAATGAAACCGCACTCTATGTGCAATTAACATACGCTGATTTTAAAAAGGAGAAAAAACTGATTCATTCAGTAAGTGCCTGCTGTGTAGTAGGTATTCTGTCATACTGGCTCATATATAAAATTTACCAAAATATTTGTCTCATACAGATCTTTTTCACTCACCCCTTCTCAAATGAGACACACTTCGTGTTCCAAAGATGGTGATAAACTTTTCTTCATCTGTCCCCCATTTAAGCTCTCCAGCCTGAAACAAAGCCTGCAAAAAATTTCAACTTCAATTAATAAATTTTTCTATCTCATTCTTAGGTTCTTAATAATCCTTGTTTTTTAGTCCCTGAATAGTAAATTACCTGATTCACAACTTATTCTTCATGTGTAAAGTTTCCTACTATGAAACTCAGCCCTCTGAAGTTGGAACTTCTTGGGAGCTTATACAGAACTCTACAATAGCACATTAACAGGTCAAAGTGAAAAGCATAGCAATGGTGCAAGAATAAGTCTTCACAAGATGTCTACTGTAATTTTCAGGAACAAAGGGTTGGAGAAACATTCTGATTATTTCATTGCTGAACATCCATTTATAGACTGGAAAATAATTTAACTGGAAGCTAAGTTATCTGTATTTTCTGTTTTACTTGCTCTATAGCTGTTCAATGCATATGACAAAAAGTAAATTCTGTATTTTCTCTTCACAATTGAGGTTTAACCAAAGCCAGCAATAAAATATTTTCATTTATCCAAAGACCACATTAAATTTTTTAAAAGGCTGTGGTGTATAACAGTAGTTGGCACATATCAGGCAGTTAATAAATACTTGTTCAATCACTTGAGTGCCCATATTTACTTTCTGATATGGAAAAAAGAAAAGTGATTTTAAAAATTCCTAAACCAAACATTATCGTTAAATCTGAGACCACTTAATGAGATGTGGATAGTTTATTGAAACCCAGAGTAAGTCTTTATAGTACACTACCATTTTAGTGATTCGTTTCAAGTACTCCTGTTAACCCAAGATGAATACAGTCCTTTGAGGTTGCTGAGAGCTGGCCTCATGCCCATAGGAGAGATCAATAGGAGAGAAGAAGCAAATCGTGTTTGGATGTAAAAGTTTTGATCACAGTATGTTTAAGAATGTAGATTATGGTGGTCTCAATTTTTATATTTCCAGGTAATTATTTTTAAAAATGAGACTTATACTTGTCATATTCAGTTTTGAGGTTAATTTATGTTAATAATAAAATAATCAATATTAATTCTGGCCACCTTAGCACGCTCTTCAAAACTGAAAAAAAATAGATACTATGAAGTCACACATGTATTTAAATTTTAGAACTATATAGAACTTTCTAAAATTAACTTTCAAAAATTCTAATTATGAAAACCATACATGTTCTTTAAAAAAAATACATTCTTTGAAAAATCTGTAAGCAGAAAAAAGACACAATTAAGAAAATTTAAATTACCAGATGTTGGTAACTATTTCTAGTATGTTTTCTACATGTAAAGACATATATTAATCCCTTACAACAGGGAGGCTTGTCCTGTACAATGTTGTGGCATTGCTGATGCAGGCACTTCTTACCAATTATTCTGTAGTTCTACAACTTTACTCTAGTAGGTAGAGCAGTTAAGCTTGTCATATGGGAATAATTGGTGACATTTCAGCTGTTGTTTTGTTTGTTTGTTTGCTGTAACCACAATTTTCTTAGAAGAATTAGGTCTCGGATCAGTATTTATTCTAAAACTATTAAGTAAGTCATATGCAATAATAATGAAGTGTCTTCATACAAAACAATGACAGTTAAAGGTTTTGTTTTGATCTAAGTATCCTTTCTTCTAACTAAGGATTCCAAGCAGTGGAGTATGGCTCAAGTGGTAGAGTGCTTGCTTAAAAAAAGATTCCCAGGGCTGGGGGCATAGTTCAGTGGTAGTATGCACAACTGACATGCACAAGGTCCTGGGTGAGCTCTGCAGCACTGCAATCAATCAGTAAGTGAATGGATGTCTGATATTCACAGAGCTGCTCTGGTTGAGGGACCTTCACACCTCCTCATCCTCCCCTTTTCACACAGTTCAGCCCGAGTACAGTATGATAACTCCTGGTTCAGGGCAAAGGACAGAGACTTGGAAGTTAAAAAGACACGGTCTTTGTTCTTATCTATGAGATCTCAAATGAACAACTTACTCTCTTCTTTTTTTGGTGGGAGAGGAGTGGGTTGGGACTGGGATTTGAAATCAGGGTTTCATGTGTGCAAAGCAGGTACCCTACCACTTAAGTCACACCTCCAGTCCATTTTTGCTCTGGTTATTTTGGAGATGAGGTCTCATATGGACTACTGCCCCAGGTGGTCTTGAACCATGATCCTCCCCATCTCAGCTTCCTAGGTAACTGAGATTACAGGCATGAGCCAACAGCACTGACCTTACTCTTTTCTTAAGCCTCGATGCCCTTACCTACAGAGTAAAAATAGTAGTTCCATAGGTAATTAATACGATTATATAACTTTTAAAATGCTTTAAACAATATCAGATAATCAATAGCAGGTGCTCAATAAACACTGATTCCCTTCTCTTTCACCTTCTTTCCCCCTTCTATAGAAAGCATAAAACAAAGATTTGGCAGGGAAGAAGAGAAAAATCAGTTTTAACACTTTAAAAGTGTTGAGTCAGTTTAACACATTAAAATGTTAAAAAGTCATGTTATCTACAAAATGCTCAGTTCCCAAGTGAATGACTCACTGTGGTTCATCAGAGCCCTGAAATAAAAAGAATCTTTTTAGCACCAGGTATCCATAGAGAAAAAATTCAAAAGCTGGTAAAGGACCTTTTTTTCAGCTTACCCTAAATTAAGGGTCTTAAATCCTCATTAGTGCTAACAGTCCAGCTTCCCCAGCAAGAAGATATAAATGGATGTGTTCGTTTTAATAATGCTGAAAGAATAATTGTTCCCAAAAGGTTGACTTAATAACAATAATATGTTTTAAAGAATAAAAAATGTATCATCCGTGTAGCTTGTTTTCTGCTGTTCCTATTAACTGGAAGGTGAGAAAAGCCCAGATTCCATGGAGAGATACTTTAAAGTCATTCCATAAGGCAGCTTTCACACATACAGAGTTTCAACGTGTCTGCTGCATGACAGGTAAGTGACATCTATACAGCCTGGGTACTCATAACATGGTTTCAAGATGCAGCGTTTGTGTGCCCTGAGAGTTGCCAGACACTCAGGCCCCACACAGACCTGCAGAATCAGAACCCAGTTTTACAAGATCCCCAGGTAGTTCACAGGCCCAGGACAGTATAAGAAGCAGCACTCTGCAGTGAATGCTCTGAGAGAAATGACTGAGAACCAGGTTAAATTAGCTCCCTTCCCCGACTTCACCCTCAGTCTTGACTGCAGCAATGCTCTCATGACATCACCCCTATGCTGGGAAATCTGCCCGCTGTTCATTAATGGAGGGCTCACCACAGTCATCTGAGACTGCTGCAGCTGGCTTCCTACACCAGGACTTGAGAAGCTTCCAGAACTCCTACTCCTGAGCAGAAGAATGTGAGAAACAGCATTATCTTCTACTAACAACCCACAAAGAATTACTGGTTGGAAAGCAGTAAAGTCATCTCAGAAGTGAATAAAGCCAAGAAATGGGAGAGTGACTTTGGAAAGTTGCTCTTGAAATTACACTGATCTGTGCTTCCAATCTAACTCTAATAAGCCCTTTATATTAGAGGAAATCAGAGGGAGGAACTAACACTGAGAATATGGAGACTGTTGCTCCATGAAACAGAAAAGGCTTTGGGGTCAGACAGGCCTATCTGGAAATCCTAGATCTACTATTTAGTAGGGGCCATGGGTTTACTCTCTCTCTACTTGGGTTCAGCACTAATTTATGAATCAGTTATGTATTAAGTGCATGCTAGGAGTTAAGTAACAGCTGACAAACAGGCAGCTTCAGTGTGAGGTGGTGAGTACAATGACAGGAACCCTGGGATATTAGTTTTCCCTGGAAAGGACACTTGACTTACACTTCAAGGGTCAGACAGGACTACCTGAAAAGCATCTGAGGACTGACCTTTGAAGCGGAGCGAGTCAGGAGAATGGGGGAAATAGAAGAAGGAAAGAGCACATTAAGAGAGAGGCTGGAGGCATAAGTTAGACACAGATCACAAAATAGCTTATAAACCACATGAAGAGGCCTGGACTTCTCCTAAAGACAATGCAACCCAGGAGGGTTTTAAGATCTGTTTATGTTTATTAGTGCATAACAATTGTACAGGGGGATATATCTTTAAAGTATATCTTACTTGGATTTACACCCTTCCCATTATTCTCCCTCTTCCCCTCTCCACTCTCCTAGAACAATTTCAACAGGTTTCATTTTTCTATTTTCATTCATGGATATAAAATACATTCAGCATATTCACCCTCATTCCCCTGTTCCTTGTGCCAGCCCCCACTGGAATTTATTTTTCCCTCCTCGCCCTCATTTTTAAATAAATTTTTATTAGGATATATTCATGATATGGGGGGGGTTCATAGTGACAATTCCAATTAGACTTATATTGTACATTAGTTACGTTGGCTCCCATGGTCTCTCTCCCTCAATTAAAGCAATTGCAAGGTTTTTAGTTTTGTTTCATACAGGTATATGAAGTCCATCTACCATAAACCATCACCTTAATCTCCTTCCTTCACCCTCTACCCCCCCATGAGTTCCCCCCCCCCACATACTCTGTGCCTATTTTGCAGTCCTAGTTTTCATAATTAATATTTGAGTTGACATTCAGAGGGGTGTCTCAATGTATGCCCTCTGTGGGTGTGCTTTACTTTGGTCTATTCAATCCCTTCAAATACTCTCCCTTTCTCCTTTACCTTCCACCCCAGTTTTTCAACATCTTTCAATTCACTCTTTTTAAAAAATTATTATTCTTTTTTACTTTATCATTTTTACATTTACTCACATGACATTGTTCGGGCCACCTCCCCCTCTAGCAGGGCAGAACCTGTCCTCTACCTTCACATCTTATGTTATGCAATATTACTGATGCTCTATCATTCCCTTTTCCTTTCTCTCTTTCCCCAAGTTTACACGGTTACAAACATGCTCTACAACTGAGTTTGTATATGACCATGCTTGTTTCTGTATATATGTTTCTCTTTTTTTAAATTAAGTGTATATTGATAGTCCAAGGGGGTTTTGCCTTGGTACTTCAGGTCTGTATATACCCTGTTTTTATCAAATAAATCTCCTCTCCTCTGATACTTACTCATTCTCTATCACAATGCTCCCCTAATATTCAACAGCTTGTGGGTTTTAAGATTTTACACAGCAACATGCACAAGCTTGCATTTTATAAGGGAGAAAAGGGCAAAAGTCAAACACTGCATAAAGAGCCCTCAGTAAATGTCTATTTCCTTTTTTCCCTGGTTAGCCAGTGATGGCAGCATTCTGAAGTCATTATGAAATTAACCCATCCAAAATAATATGATTTTCTCTTCTTTCCTACCAGCAAAGCCAGATCACATAGCAGTGGGTGTTACATACAGAACAGTCATTGGAAGAGTGTGCATGGTTTTTCCTTTTTCACTGGAGTATGACTAAGGACCAATGTTGTACCTTATTAATTAAAACACATGTCCAGAGACAAGGCTGCTCTAGGTAACTCTAAGAGCACAAGTAATTCCTTTATTACCTATCTCTAAGCTTTAATTCTTATGTTCCAAATTTCCTAACATTTATTTCCTACATTTGATTGTTTTATGAACCATACTGACACTATACTGGGATTTAAAATTCCTAAGTGCAAATTTTCACTTGGGAATCATTAAAAAACAGCTGACAAAAGACCAACACTATTTAGAATTCTATCAAATGAAATACAGAGAAACTTTCTAATGATAAAATAACTAATCATATCTTCTATAATTAAATACCACTTACCATGAAGTACCTTACTCTTTCTTCCTTATTCTCTCCTGGTAGGAGACCACTGGTAGTAGAATCAATAACACTAGGTTTTTTGGTGAAATTCTCTATTTTGTGAATGTTCCACACTCACAAAAATAATAACATGTCTAGGTGGCACTTGATAAATAATTTCTTTTATATCTTTAAGTTTTGAGATAAAACTTTTTTGCTGGCCAGATGGGAATAATAAAAATTTACTTCTGTGGTTCTTATGATTTATAAGGGACCCATAAACTAGATTATTTCCAAAGGCTCTTACAACATACATTGTAGTTTGTCACTACCATAAATTCTTTTTCCATTTCCAAGTCATGAAAAGATATCATAGAGTAGACCTCACTCACCTGAGCATCTTGTTCAACTTGAGCTTCATCAATTGCAGCATCAGGGTCTCTATTTGCCTATAAGAGAGAATAGGTCACATTACTGAATTGTTGTATTTTCATTCAAACAGAAAAATGGTTGTACCCAATGGTTTTGCACATAAACCTTTTTCTCTTAGGAACCATATGTTTGTGTTCAGAGCATATCATTCTATAATATTTCACAGTTATCACACAGTGCTGTCCAAAACCAGTAATGACCCTCCTGATTTTAAATTCTATTAAAGAAGAGGATACATATTGCCATAAAAACAAATGAATGAGTTAGTTATCAAGAGTTTTGGTCAGATTTCTGAAACATAAACAAGCACCAGCAACACACAGATTCCCATATGCAGAGGAATCTGCAAGTACTAGAAATTATTAAAAAGAATTTTAAGTGGCCTTACTTAAGAGTCAGGCCAGTCTGCCTTTAGACTTTTTAATCAAACTATGATCTGTCTCCACCCAATACCTGAAGGAGAACCACCAACATCCTCTGGTAGTATCCCGAGGTATCCCCACCACGTCATCTTCCAGGCTTGAGCCATACTCTGAAACAGAATTATTTCACACTTACTTACAGCTGCTTCAATTAAAAAATGATAGCCTGCCTTATTAATTAAATGAAGAAGATGTGAAGAAACATTGCATTTGAGTAAGTTAAGTTCTCTCTCTGGTCCATCTCTCAGTAATATAAAAATGAAAGGTAAATGCTTTAAATGAGTGGCTTTTTTCTTTGAGTCTCCCAAAAGCACTAATTCAAGCCTAAATCATGACTCAACCATTTCAAAACGATTTCACTCAGTATAGTTACTGATTTGTAAATACATGACAGTACCATAAAAAGTCTTTTAAACATAATCAGTCCTGTTTAAACTTTGCTTCCTTTTAAATGTTTTATAAGATTAGCATTTAAAGGTCTTCCATCCTCTGAATTTCCTTTCTTTGTTCCCACTAATGAGATTTTTATTTCTGCAGCAAATTAAGTTAACTCTAAGAAGCAGCAATGACATTTTAAAGTATGACCTCTCCTACCTCTATTTCCAAGTCTTCAACATAAGGTCATAGGAAAGGGGACAACAGAGAGCTACAGAGTCTATAAGCCACTTTCACTAATTCTCAAACAGCTGCAATTAAAAGAAAAGAGGTAAGCCAGATGCTGGTGGCTCAGACCTGTAATCCTAGCTACTTGGGAGGCAGAGATTGAGGTTTAAAGCTAGCCATGGCAACAAAAGTGAGAACATATTTCAAAAATACCCAACGCAAAAAAGGGCTGGTAAAGTGGCTCAAGTGGTAGAGCACTTGCCTAACAAGCCTGATGCCCTGAGTTCAAAAAAAAGGAAGGAAGGAAAGAAGGATTGATTTAGACATTATCTGAAAGCAGATAATTATCTGAAAATTCTATTTTAAAAGGCCCAAAAAGAGCACCAGATGTGGTGATGCATGCCTGTGACCCCAGCACTTGTTAGGCAGAGGCAGGAGGATCAAGAATTTGAGGCCAGTATGAGCTACAAAGCAAGACCCTGTCTTAAAAAAAGGAAAAAAAAAAGGGCCAAGCATGGTGGCTCACACCTATAATCTCAATTACTCAGGAGGCAGAGATCAGGAGGATTCCTGTTAGAGGATATCCCCAGCAAGACCTCATCACAACAAATGAGCAGGGTATAGGTAGGAGGATTGAATTCTGAGACTGGCCCAGACCCAAAACAAAACATGAGACACTAGCCAAAAAATAACTAAAGCAAGAGGGCTGGAAGTGTGGCTCAAGTGGTAGCCAACTTGATTAGCAAGCACAAGGTCCTGAGTTCAAGCCCCAGTACCACCAAAAAAATAACAAATAAAAATAAATGAAAGTTCCAAAAAAGTATTATGTGTCTTACTATCAGTTACCAAACACAAAACCTCTCAGGTATATTTGGTTCCTTCCTCTGTTCCAGCATCACAATCACCATCAAATCCCATAAAATATTTTCTCTAATTTATATTCCTCATACTTCCCAGCAACCTAAGTATGGCCATAAATACTAAGCACCTAGCTTACCTCCCCAAACTCCTATCTACCTAAGCCTCTTGATTCAACCCTCCTTCCTCCTTCAATTGTCCCTTTGCCCACTTAGGAACTTAACAATACCTTTGCATCAAGCCCAAATTCACAAGGCAGGCACACAAAGCCATCTATTACCCAGCCTGACTCACTTGTTCACCTGTCTCCATAAAGGACACACACATTCTTCACTGCAGTCAGGCTTTGGTCCATGCCCTGGATCTACTCTCCTCAGTTCAGTGTCCATGCCATTGAAGATCATGGATACCTGCACCAGAAACACCTTCTTACCTACTCAGACCCACTCATCTTTCCTCCCAGCTTTAATGAGACAACTAAAAATTATATTTAAGTATTACAACATGATGTTTTGATACACATATACATTGTGAAATGACTGCTACAATCAAACTAATTATCAGATCTATCATTTCACATAGTTTTTGTGTGTGTGTGGTGAAAATCATTTAAGATCTACTTTCTTAGAAAATTTCAAGTAAACAATACAGTACTATTAATACAGTCAATATGCTATATAGTATTCTTCAGAACTTTTTGTCCAACCTAACTGAAACATTGAACTAAATTTAACCAACATCTCCCTTTCACCCCTTTCCTCCCCCTGCCTCCCAACCAACCCCTGACAATTAACACTCCACTCTCAGTTTCTATGAATCTGATGTTTTTAGATTATGCATATACGTGAGATCGTGCACTGGCTTATTCCACTTAACAATGCCTTCTAAGTTCATCTGTGCTGTTGCAAATGACAGGAGTTCCTCTTTTAAGACTTAATGATGTTCCTCTGTGTGTGTGTGCATACACACCCTATTTTATCTATTTCTTTGTCAATGATACTTAGTAAACCCACCTACTCATAAAATTCTGCTGAGTGCCTCACTTGTACCATGAAGTCACTCTTAATATTCAAAGGTATGATGACTTCTCCCCTCTGACTTTTGAATTTTACTATTCTTTAACCACTGCAGTTGTGCTAAGTCATGTTATACCAAGACTCGAGGTTGCATGCAATCTCTTTGAGGAAAAGAGCTACTCCATGTGCCTTTTGTGTCCACCAGACATATAGCCAGTGCTCCATAGCACAGCTGAACAGGATGGACCACAAGCTTGTCGTCCCCTTCCAGCATCTCATTTGTTGTCCAGCAGCACAGAGGCTCAGTCATCAATGTCAACACCCCCAGGAAAAGACCTTTCAGTATTACATCAAATAAAGGTTCAAGTTCAGATACACATGTCACCTCTGCCTCAGTGGCTGGGACCTACCTGACTACAAAAAAGAGAAGCAGGAAAACAGTGACGCAGCACTCTGGCAAGGTAATTATTTAGTTGTGTAAATTTCACAGTGTTGGACTTGGTGGGTTAACAAAATCATCTCAAAGATCAACAAACTAATACCATGACAGAGACACACCTTCCTAGCTAAAGGCTCTAGGCTTAGAGCCTGGTGACTGAGTGGACAACCTGGAAGGTCTGGCCCTCCTAGGTCAGGGAAAGGAAGGAGTCTGTCATAAGAAATCTGACAAGAAAAGAACTCTCTAGCTTCACTTTATTTCATGTGCTTGATATTCTATTCACAGGATACTCTCTACATTGAAACATGGACCTTTTTCACAAAAAAGTAAGGCCCACTAAGAAGAAAAGTTAAATTGTGGGGTATTTTATTCAAGCATTGCTATTAGCTAAAACCACATTCATTTACTAAAACGTTTTTATCAACTCTGATCTGAAAAAGGGTTTAGGTTTCTTTTCCCAGGTTCCTAAAATTCCCTCTAGATAACTCTTTTCTACTAACAAAAAAACCTGAATTTATTTGAAGAAAAACCACTTATACCTTAAATTAACGTAAAAAAACAAACAAACTATATATCCCTATAAAGTTGTAAATCCTATATAAGTAAACTTCATCCTCTGCAGTGGCTTCTTACAAACTACTAATATAGTTATACGTAAGCAGGCAGCGATTTTGTTTTTTGAGTTTTTTTTTAAATTGAAGAAGAAAAATAGCTTGAATTCTTTAATTCAATTCACTCAACAATCATGTATTGCCTGAAACCTAAATCTATGAAGGACTGCATTCACATTAGAGAAAAGAAAGAAGTGGAGATAGGTGAAACCATTTACCTTCTTCATATACTTGTTTTATGGCTCTTAGCTGTTCAGGCGTCCTTGAAGCAATAATTTCTGTCAATACTTTTTCATTTGTCCCAGCTCCCTGCTTGAAGATTTGTTTATAATCAAGAAAAAACATGTAAATAAGGTTAGAAAAACAGTTTCTCTAGACGTTACCCAAATTGCATAATTACATGAATATTATCCAATATACCATAAACAACTTTGTAGACAAGTTCTACTGTTACAGAGATAAGAAATTTCAAACTAATTTTCTCTCCAAGGACAATTCTGTTTTGTCTAATGAAAATGTGTTTATTGTTCTGTGTGTATGCATGTATATATGTGTACATATATATATATAACAGGTTAAACTAATTTGCCATTTATAATTTGATCAATTAATTTTTTATAAGTAAGTCATTTTAATTAAATAACAAAAGGCAAGAATAGTAAAAATGAAAACTTCGCATAAATTTACATGGAAGATTACTGGTACATAAGCAATCTACCCCAAAAAACAAACCCTTGATCTTAAGTTTCCTATAGAGCTGCAGGAAAATTCTGTATCAACAGTAATGGTATAGTTTGGATCTTTTTTTTTTTTTTTTTGAAGTACTGGGGTTTGAACTCAGGCCCTATACCTTGAGCCACTCCACCAGCCCTTTTTTTGTTGGGTTTTTTGAGATAGGGTTTCTCAAACTATTTGCCCAGGCTGGCTCTGAGCCTCGATTCTCCTGATCTCTGCCTCCTGAGTTGCTAAGATTACAGGTGTGAGCCACCAGCACCCAGCTATAGTTTGGATTCATGTCCCTCCAAAAGCTCACGTATTAAAGGTTTGGTCCCAAGTGGTGCTTTTGAGAGATGATGCAAGTTTTAAGAGGTGGGGACTAGTGGGAGATCTTTAGGTCGATGACAATATGCCCTTGAAGGAGATTGTGGAACCACAGTCCTCCTTCCTCTCTTTTACTTCCTGACCACAAGGTGAGTTTTGTTGTGACACATACTTCCATCACGATTTGCTGCCTGGCCATTGGCCCAAAGCAACAGGGCCAACCAATCATGGACTGGAGCCTCTAAACCCATAAACCAAATTCACCTTCACTCCTTACAAGATGACTATCTCAGTATCTGTTATAGTAATAGAAAGATAACTAACACAGAGAGCAATGAATATAGCATTGCTTAGTTTTTAGAAGCTGTATCAGTATAAACTTAACTAGAATTTGCTTTCTGGGTTTCTGAAAAATAATTTTAGTTGACTTTCCTTTTCTTGCTTGTAAGTCATACCTATACTGCTAAATTAGAAGCTATAAGCTTAATTATTTTAAAGACAGCATATTTGGGCTGGGGATGTAGCTCAGTGGTAGTGCCTACTTAACATGAACAAGGCCCTGGGTTCAATCCCCAGCACCACAAATTTTTTTTTAAAGATTAAAATAGCATATTCAAGACTTATTACTCTGCTAATTTGGTTTCTTTACCAAAAATCAAGCACTACAAAGCCTAAGTTCATCCTCTGACAGAATTTCAACTAATGCTGACATTCTAAAAATCACTCTATAAAAAAGCCCTTTCCTCAAAAACATAAGATTTTGTTTACTCTGAAAGAATCACTGTAAAAAAATGAAGAGAATCAGCACCAACACGCTCCCAACTGGATAAATCTTTACCTCCCTCCTAAAAGAAAAGAATCCTAAGCTACATTTTTATGTCTTTGTGGTTGATTTTCAATTTGCCCACTCAAAATTAACCTGCTAATCATTGGACTATTTCCTATCCCATACGTCATTCTTATATGATATTTCAAACATCAAACTTAGCTTTTGCTACAACTGAAATTATAACAAGTTCATCAGGTAACTTTCTATGTAGAAAGTTAAAATACTTAATCTGTAACATTTTAAAAACAAGTCAGTCTTCTGGAAGACAGGTATGAAATAAAATTTTAAAAGCCAGACAATATTACTGACTAAATAACACACTACTTCATATTGCTTCCCACAGTTTTGTCTTCCAAGCAGCCCTCACTGAAATAAGCCAAATAAAATGTTTAAGATGTGCCAGGTAAGATGGAGTAATTACCACAATAAAATAACACTATATATAACTCTTTTCACACAGCCTTTTACCTTAAGAGCATGCTTCAGTTCATAGGCATCATAAAGTCGAGAGGGTTTCATCAGAGCCACGATTAATTTTTCAAACTTTCCAGTCAGTTCTGATTTCAGGTCATCCAGAAGGTCCTAACTCACAGAAAACACACTTACTAACCAGAATATGTTAAGGACAGTCTTCTCAAACATGAAAGGCAGCCCCTTGCTCTAATGAATTCTCTATATTGTTATCTCCAAGTAGAATCTGGCATGAGCTAATGAATGTACTTTTGACAAGCTGGCCTAAACCTTAAGCAAAGCCACTCATGCATCAAGGTATTTATTTTTTAAAAGATGGGCTGGGGGTGTAATTCAAATGGTAGAGTGCCTGCCTAGCAAATATGAGGCCCTGAGTTCAAACCTCAATATAAGGAAGAAAAAAAATTAAAATACCCTTTTCTTAACTTCAAGAGTTAAAATAAAATAAATATCTTATAAAAGTAGGCTAAAAGTAATTTATTTTTAAAATATTATTCTGAGATACATATTTATCTTTAAAAATTCGCCCAATGGGTAGGCAGAGTGGCTCACGTGGTAGAGCACCTGCCTAGCAAATGTGAGACCCTGAGTTCAAACCCTAGTACTGCCAAAAAATAAAAAATTCCCCCCAAAATCATAAGTGCATTATCTTAAAAGAATAAAATTTAGCCTATCATCCTAAATAATTTTTTCTTTTCTCTCATTATTATGCTTCTGACTACTGAAATACACATTAATGGGGGAAATTGGGAACATAATTGTGAAAAGAAAAACAGTTATTTCCTATCTTTTCAGTTTCAGCAAACCAAGCTTCAAGATGTGATATTTGGTAGAGCATTGTCTACCATACACAAAGCCCTGGGTTTGATTTTTAGAAAAGAAAAAAAAAAAAAAAAAAGCTTACTTTTTCACTGTTTTGTTCTGCATTTGTTTCTCAATGAAATGATAAATATAAATTTTCAGGTACTATAAGTCATCTAAAATGATCTAAAGTATATGGGAAGATGGGAATAGGTTATATAAAAACACTATGTCTATGTTACATAGAATATAAGGGACTTGAGCCATCTGAGAATTTGCAGATCCTCAGGGATCCTGGAACTACCCTTCCAGAGATATCAGGAGATTATTGTATATATCAAATTTTCTTAAAACTCACAGCTGCTCTCACATTCTACCTCGGGATGAAATATGGTCTTACCCTGCCAAATAGAGTTTTAAAAGCCTCAGCAATTTCCTGGCGCTGAGCATTGCTTCGCGATGTCAACAGAGTCAGTATGCTCTCCTCATCGGTGCCTGCAAATGGTGGATAACAATCACAACTTGGCTCCCACATGCCCAGGCTCTCAACAACCTTTTTAACTAGTTCCCCCATCACTTTATTTCCTCACATCTGTTTATGAGAATATAAAGTGCAGTTATGTTTTATTAACTAATTTATTAAAAATATAAATTGACAATATGCAAACTGCTGTATTTCTAATACATACTACCCCCCATTCCCAACATATTTTGAAATAAATGGAAAAAATACTTCTAACTTTTTAAAAACTGAATGCGCATGGTTTCTCATGCAACAGATAGTTACTCAAATAACAGCTACAAGGCACAGTGTGCTGGGTGTTATAGGGAATAGAAAAAAGAAAGACAGACTGACTTCAAATTTATAGACAATTTAGGTGGAAAATATGTAACCGTGAGCTAAAACAGAATGGCAAGTGCCTCAGCAAAGGTCCAGGGGTTAAACTGGGGTGCAAAGGACAGTTTCCTGGCTGAAGAGAGGCATAAAGAAGTTTTGGAGAAGCTTCATGGGGAAGGTAACACTCAAAACTGTCCTGAAAAATGAAAGGATTGTGAAAGACAATGATTTAAGAAAGAAGGACAGGCTCTTAGTATAAGGGAAAAGTTCAGTGATAGGAAATGCAAGGGTTGCACTGGATCAGTGACCACGTCAAACAGTAATGGAAAATGAGTGTGAAAGGTAGGCTGGGTAGTCTACAGGAGACCCTGCAAAACAAAAAGCGAAGAACACCTGTACAGAAAGAGCCTCAGCTCAGAGACCAATTACACATAGAAACCCTAGAGAGAATAGGTTCCTACATGGCTGGAGAAAGAGAAGAGAGACTCTAAGAGCCCCACAGCATGAGGACTGGATAGCTGACCGGGCAAGGGCACAGAGCTGCCCAGCCACTCAGTCTCAGGGATGGCTGAGTCGGCTACTGTACAGGGGACGCCGACAGCTGCCAAAGCACAAAGGCTGATTTATTTCCCTGGTCAGTGCTAGAGACTGAATATTAGGGATGGTCTGTAGTATTGTTTTGTTATCATAGGTATCTTTTCTCCTATAAATTTCAGATCAAAATATTCTAAAATTAATCTTACTGCAGTTAATGACTTTTTGTTTGGAAAAACAAATATCAATTTTTAAAACAAGAATTAAAAGACATTGAATTTACCCAGGCCTTTCATGGCATTCCGGAGAGTTTCTGCATCACCCCGATCATCAAATCCAGGGAAGTCAGTCACGGTGCCTCTGAGAACCTAAGATAGGAGCACAGAGGTGTTATTCATATCATAATTAATGTGGCAAAGCAAATAACATAAATCACTGCTTGCTGTTTATCACTTTCAGCCTCTAAATAAATTCATCATTTGATAAGATTTATGACTTCTCTTGAAATAAGATTAGCAGAACCAGTTCAGCAAATGACACCGTTAGTAGAAAGGCTGGCTTCCTCTTCCTTTGGGCCCCACCCCTTGATCATCCCCCACCAACACCTAGTCCACGGAGGGCACCTCCCTGCAGGCTTCTTTCCTGTTAAGTCATCCCACTTAGGATGACTTACCCTACCCTGAGCACTCAATTCTAAATAAGGTTCTTTTTCCATATGCTTTGCATCCTGAGTCCTATTTCTATATACATGCTTAGGAATTTTAAAATAACTCAGCAAGTCCTGAAAAAATATTTGGTAGCTCGTGTGCCATAAGAATATATTGGAAGACATTCTTTGTAAGGCTCCTGTTACACATTATTTAAGTATATATATGTGTATATATACATATGTATGTGTCTGTACATATACAGACTTTCACACACACATATATCTTTTGGCAGCACTGAGATTTGAACTCAGGGCCTCACACTTGCTAGGCAGGCACTCTTACTACTTGAGCCACTCCACCAGCCCTATATACCTTTTAATAATTACTAGGAAAAAGACATGATCTCTAAAGTCAACTACAAAATGACAATTGGAACAATATCAAATGAAAAGCAGGGCACAGTGGCTCATGCCTGTAATCCTAGCTACTCAGAAGGTAGAATCAGGAGGCCTGTGTATAGTTAGAGGCCAGCCTGGGCAAAACCTTCACAAGACCCCATCTCGACCAACAAGCTGGGCATGATGGTGCATGCTTGTGGATCCAGCCACACAAAGTTGAAGGTAGAAGGATCACAGCCTGGCACCAGTCTCAGGCAAACATTTAAGACCCCAACCTGAGAAATAACAAGCAAAAAGAGAGGGCTAGGTCTGTGGCTCAAGTGGTACAGTGTTTACCTATCAAATGTAAGGCTCTAAATTCAAGCCCCAACACCTCCAAAAAATTAAAATTAAAAAAAAATCAACTGCAATAGAGTATATACAACAGAGATTGGATTGGGGGATAAAAACTGCAAGGATGGCAAGAAGGAAAACGGGAAAAAACTTCCCAAAAATGTCCTGAAAGTTACCTGTAAATTTGCCAGCAAAGATCAGAAACGTAGACAAGTGTGGGAGTAATTTTTTAGCATGTATAAAAGTATGGAAGAACAAAATGATCTGGTACTTGGGTAAAGGGTTAAGTATTTCAATAGACTGAAACAAGCAGTCAGGTTAAATAGAAAACCAACAGGGGAAAGTCATGGTGAGGGGAGAAGGAGGATACAAAAGCCATACAAAGTATGTAAACTTCATCCTGTAGCAACAGGAAGCCACCAGAAGATATTCAGGTGGGAAGAACAATATCAGCTCCTCACAGTGATATGGCACTGGCAACCCTGAGAACAATGGAAGGGACTGTGCAAGAATGGAACCAGTAAGATCACCCAAAAACCAACACAAAGAAGGTATGAAAGAGCTGACCAAAGGCAGCAGCAGTGAGAATAGAAAGGAAGAGACAAAGTGGAACAGGAGCCAGAGCAGAAGGGAACTATTTAAGATTATACTGGTTTGAGATGAAGACTAGTGTGGCTGATTTCAAGTTTGTCCCTGGCAGGAATGTGGGAAGAAAGAAAGGCTTGTGGGTGATGGGCCCAGATAGGTAGTAGCCAGGCTTTGTGAGGGGGCTGCCACACAAGGCAATATTAATGAGGTTGAAGAGCCAAATGAGAAGGGAAGGGAAGGTGAGCTATGATCAGAATGGCAGCTAATGTCTGCTACATGTGGCAATAAAACAGACACTGCTGAGAGCTTCACGTGGATTATTTCAGTGAAACCTCACATTACAAATGATGAGAGACCTAGCAGCTTAGAATGGGTTGATAAGTCATCCAAGCCACCATTAAGCAAGCAAGTAGCAGAGCTAGCACTGGAGGCAAGTGATGGAGCTGTTACTCCTGGGCTCTTGACCATGAGGCTGAATTGCTTCCCAATTCAGGAAGAAAAGCCAGAGGCTGATGGCATGGCAGCCAGAAGAAAGGAAGAAGAGGGGGTGGCCGATACTGCAGGGAAGTCCAGTGGGAGGAAGACCAAAGGGTCCACTGGGTTTGGTAAGCAGGACTCTTAAAAGTAGTAAAAGCCTGGCTACAGGACAGTCAAGAGTGGATTGAGAGGCAAATTATCTCAGTGAAACATCATCTCACAAACAAGATAAAACAAGCTTTTTAAAATACACTTTAAAAATAAGAAAGAAAACTTGATCTGGTTTGTAGGCTCTGAAGAGACTAATAGATAGGAAGTTAAAAATAAGAAGGAGGGGGGTTAAAAAGAGAAGAGACCAGACATATTGTCTCAAAGAAAAAGACATCTTATTCTAGAGACCAAAGAAACTTCAGTGAAAGATGAAAAGAAGAAAAAGGTCCTAAAATCCCAGCTACTAGCTATGAAGAAGGAGTAACTACTACTGGCCATATATTTAAGAGCTTTCTAGAAATTGTGAAACACTTTTGTTACATTCCACAGAATCAGCATCACCGCCAAAGCTAGCAAGGCCACACAGCTGTACTAAGGGGACACATGTGAATCACAGACATGAGTCATAAAGTCAGAACCCTGTTTGAATGTCCTCCCTAACCCCCATCACTGCCCAAACAAAACTGTCTCCAAGTGACCTTCAATGACTCATTCAAGGTTTCCCCTTTTTCCTGGAGTTAACTCCATCTCTAGGTTCTGTTCCTTCCACCAATCCTCAATTTTTCCTCAACTCCCTTTATCCCCTACCAATGTCATACCAAGAGAATTATTATATATGCTTAGACAACACATGGCCAGAACATGTAATTCACTTTTTAACTCTCATCTGCAAAAGTATCCATTCTTCATCTCTGTAATTACGCTGGCTTTTTTCCTCCTCTTAATTAAAAACTTCTTTTACCCTCAAAGACCAGGTATGCCGAAATAAAATGAATAACCATAAAACTAGTGAAGGGCTGTTTTTCTAGACACAGAATTTAAAGACAAAGGAAAATAATACACAAATAATATTCCAAATCTAAATATAAGAAAATGCTTGCCTGCCTGTAACATTTTAAGTAACGCTTTCCTACAGCACAGAAGAGGACTAAACTCCCTTCAAGCTTGTCTTCCTGGTCTATATAATCACCCTTAATCCAACACCACCCAACATTCCACATGACACTAACAAGGAGCCAGGAATCATGAAACAAAACATCATAGTCAAGCAACTGCTAAGCAGCTGTCTGGTGATTTTTAAGTAAGATTCTTCAGAGACTCAGGTTTCCACAGCCACTGGAAGAACAGAAAGATGCAAAGACTAAAGGGGCGGCAGGGTTGTGCTTCCCTTCAACATGGCCCACTAGTATTTCCTATGACAATAGGTCCCATTAATGAGAAATAAAAATTTTGATCATTATATTAAGAAAGAAACTATATGAGCAAAAAAAGAGAGAAAACAGTCTGACTTGACTTTGTATTAGCTATAAAGTGAAATAAATACCTTTTTCTATCAAAAAAGGTGAACACTGGGTTCAAATCCTTAAACTTGACTTGGCCTATGGCTTGCTTTCACATGACTTCCTTCCCCTTCATGTTCCTTCATACTTGATTTTGCTTCTTTCCATTTAGTCTGTCCTACTGCCTTTGCCCTCCTTCTTGAGATTAGGAGAAAAAAGCATTACTGTCAGGTAAGTTATTTAAGTTATTTGTACAGTGGTAGAAAACAAAATAAAGATTAATGAATATGATTTACATATTTGCTGCGTATTTCTTTAATTTTTTTAAACTTCCCTGCCCAGTGTAATAATGTCTTCCCTTGGCAAATACCAGTAAAATGGAAGTTAAATTATGTGCGGTTAGAAGTTGCCCTAGAGTCTGTTGACATGAGCAAGTGGCATTAGCCTCCCTTGACTCACATTTGAAGTCCAAGGAGAATCTATTTTACCTAATTGTTCAGTTGGGCATTCTGTAAACAGCACTTAAAAAGCTTTGTCACTAACCAATTCATTTGTACCAGTCTTCAGAAAACAAGTTTATAGAGAAAAATATACTGATTTGCAACTTTATTTCCTTATGTGTCTAACAAGAAGCACAAATCTAATAAATGTAACTGATCCTATGCTAAGTTGGAAATGAGCATCAAATCTTTTGTGGCTGTAGGAAGAGATAAGTAATACATAAACAAATGGATCTGTAGAAATAAAAGAGAATTTAGAGATCATATACACCCTGTTGTATACTAGGGAGTGCCACCTAAATGTTTTATAAGGAATTAAAATTCAACAAATCTACTTCTGTCTCTGCCTCAAAACTGCATCCTTTTTAAGCAAGTCAGTCATCTTGAACTTCATCCGACCCTTTACCAGTAACCCCCACTCCACTCATGCATGCACGGAATGTGCAGGCCGCTCCTATCTAATGTCCCAGCCACTACCTAGTTTAAGCATCATGAGATTTCCACAACCAACTTATAAGTGGTCTTCCAAAACCCAGCTCCCCTCTTTTTCCTCTCCCAATCCCAATACCATTATAACTCCCAGCAGCTGTTAGAAATGCAACCATCACACTGACACCAGTATGATCTTGGTTAAATACAAATCTGACCATGGCGCACTCAAACTAACAATTCTGATAGCTCTCCATGACCTACAAAATACTTCATATTATTTAGTTCTCTCTGTCAAGCTATTATATGGCCTTCCTTTCCAAGACAAGGTTCCACTTACCCAGCTTAATACAGTCTCACTTCTGCAGGGTTACACTACCTGCAGTTCCCTGTCATGACACTCTTCTGTACTCCCTAAGGATTCTCATTCGTTGTTGTCTCTACACATGCCTTCCCTCCTTTGTTCCATACAACTAATGCCAGCTAAGCAACCTCAATTTCCTCTTCTACAAAACAGGCATAGAAATACGTACCTCCAAAATGTATTATGGGCACTAAATAATGCATACAAAGAATTTGGTAAGGCATCTATTATATCAATAAATCTTAGCTCCATCTCTTATTTTACTTTCCATGTCTAGCAAAACCTGGCATACAGTGGAAATGCAAAAGCTTTATACGTTCAGGAATGCAAAGTAAAGAAAACAGTTAAGAACTAGTGTCTGAAGAAATGAAACCATCTAGAATATACCTTCACTCCAATTAATCAACTGATTATATGTTTACATATTATGTAAACTACTAAACTAAAAGGCTAGTTGGAAAGCACATTTAAATCAAAGGCCTTTAGAGCTCTAATTGTAAAAAGAATCAACTGATGAATCTGTGAGGTTTTAGAAAAGAGTATAACAGCTACATGAATAAAACATTTTTCAGAAACGGATCTATGATATAAAAATATATTTCTACTGTTTTGAACACTGAAGTCATTAAAAGAAGAAACCTACAGCCTTCCCATCTCTAACTCAATCACCTGTGTAAATCTTCCATGCAGCACTGGATACTAAGTAAGTGAACCAGGGTTTGCTGAATGCCAATGAATTGTTTAGTGGCTTGCAAAGCAGCCAAGCCATTGGGATCTATTTCTTTCTCAGAATCCGAAATGAAGACAAGAGTAAAAGGGATCAGGAGCTGATAGAAACTAACCCAGAGCAGCACAGGCCATGGATAAACAGATAACTTTAATCTAAGAAGGTAACCTTGACCTAATATCCCAAAATTAGCTACAGAGATTTAAACTTAGAAGTGAAAAACTAACATAAGGTAAGAAATTTTTTTAAAATTTAGATTAAAAAAAAAAAAAAGAATTAACCTAGAAGGTAACACCCACGCACAGGAAATCAATGTGAGTCAATGCCCTGTATAGCTATCCTTATCTCAACCAGCAAAAACCCTTGTTCCTTCCTATTATTGCTTATACTCTCTCTACAACAAAATTAGAAATAAGGGCAAAATAGTTTCTGCTGGGTATTGGGGGGGGAGAGGGAGGGGGCGGAGTGGGTGGTAAGGGAGGGGGTGGGGGCAGGGGGGAGAAATGAACCAAGCCTTGTATGCACATATGAATAATAAAAGAAAAATGAAAAAAAAAAAAGTCCAGAATTCAGTTTTAAAAATCCATCCCAAAATATGGCTAAGTTTGACAGGAAATATTTCTAAGACCCAAGGAAATTTTCACATTTATATAATAAGAAGCTGAGTGTAGAAAGCAAAAAATAAAAGGATTCAAAAATATTTTACTGTACATAGATAATCCAGGGAACTTTTAACAGCTGTCTATTCTTAGTAAATAACTTGAAGTAGCTTGTCTCCAATTTGGGTACAAATTCCATTGTATAGGCAGGTCATGGGTATAAGAGTCTTGCTAAGAATTTAACTAAAAAGGATTAATTGATCTTTGATCGGTATCTTGGTATATCTCCTGTAACATTTTCAGTAGAAAATGATCTAAAAATCGTAATAATTTGTCACTCATTTAGCAGAGTTTATGCTAAAATAACATCGACATCATGGTTTCAAGCTATATAAAGTTATTCAGATGAATGCTCTCAAATATATTTTTAAAAACCAGGTACTATGGGTGGACTGTAGCTCAGTGGTAGTCTAGCTTGGTTTGATCCCAACATGAAAAGAAAAAGACAAGACAAAAAGAAAAAAAAAACTTATCAGGAATTGTTTATATGCAACTACATTTGTAACTTAAATTTTTCTTGCATATCATAGAAAAGTTAATTTGCGTGTTTTCTTTGAGAAAGACTGAAAAACCTATCATTAGACTACGTTCTATTATAATAGTCTATTGGTACCCTATATATTTTAATGCTGACGTACTAGGATTCAGTACAGAAAAAGGAATAGGTCGCATGGTTGTTAACCCATTAATGCTTCCAGATCTGAATGTATTCACATAACATAATATAAATTATGTAGTTTCCAGGAATGTTTTTTTGCCACTACTTTATTCCCCTATGTTATGACTAAGATAAAATTTAACTGAAAAAAATTACATCAATAAGAACGTACTTTTCAAACACTAACAAATATTAATATAAATATTCATGGACTATAAAACATTTCATGTAATACTTTTTATTATTTATCTATAAGAAGAAGAAGGGTGTGATGGTGCATGCCTCTAACTCCAGCACTCAAGAGGCAGACGTGGGAGGACTGAGTTTGAAGTCATCCTGGATACAGAGTTAAGATCATGTCTCACAAAAAAAAAAAGGAAAAGGAAAGAGAGGAGGAGGAAGAGAAGGAAGAGGAGGAGGAGGAGGAAAGAGAGAAGAAACACCAAGGTATCTATCAGAGATCAAGCCTTTCCTCTTAAATTCTTAGCAATAGGGTCATTTCCATGGTCTGACTATGCAACTTGTTTCTGTACTTTTGTTTATCTGTTTCGTATTTTCAGATAGGGTCCCCCTATGTAGCCCAGGCTGGCCTCAAACTCATTAACCTCCTTCCTCCACCTCCAGAGTGCTGGGATTACAGGCTTGTACCACCATATCCAGCTGGTTTCTGGACTTTTGTCCACTGTTATAAGCAGGATGGTCCCAAAATAAGTAAAAGGAAGAAATTGTTGATATGGAAAATATAGTCCATAAACATAAAGAACTTGTGTGGTGGAAAAATGCATTTTAAATTTTTCAATAAATTAGAGACATTAATATTTAAATAACACATTTTCAACATGCACCTCTAAGACTCAGGTTCCCATTCCATTATTCTCCAGATTTCCATGGAGTAGAAGCCTCGGAATCTTATCCCTACATGTCAACCAATCATACTGCCATAGAAACGGTTTGAAACCTAAAACTGACGCTCCAACTGTCCTACAATTACCCTGGAGTCCAAAGCAAATTTTAGACAGTAAAAACACAATTACATAATGGGGGACTATAAGGACAGTAAAACTCCATCTTAATTTTAAATATTTTATTGAAAATGTTCTATGTCCATGTTTTCAAAGGATAAACAGTAAGGAAGCAAGAGCAAAATTCAACACTGTATCTTTTAAAAACACTACCTGTAACTTTTATAACTAAAAACTGGTTTTGATAGAAAACAATTCTGATGGTAAACTGTGATAGAGATCATGTACCATTCTCCCTGGTTTTGCATACATAGATAGGATCACTGCATTATTATTCTTTGAAGGTATTAAGAGTAATGTCCACAACTGGAAAATGTGTTCAATTTTTCTATCTTGGATAAAGAGTCTAAATAATGAAAATGAGCTGACTGAAAAACTTCAGCGGTCACTGAAGAGATTCAAGAAACAGTCAAATGAACAAGGATAAAGGGAATTAATCTTTGATGCATACTAAATCATGATACACATTACCACACTAGCATATCAAGATAGAAATGGAAAGTTAACCCACTCAAAAGCATCCTTTCTAAGGGGAAGAAAACCAAACTTTCCATTTAAAATAACTGGAGAATTAGTTTATTATAATATTTAAGTGCAAAAGAGGAAGGAAGAATGGGAGAACTGTATAAATTTAATAAATTTACTGGTTCATCTTAATCCTCCTGTTTTTTCTTGAAAAGGACCATGAAATCTTATTCTAGTTTGATAAGTCAATCTGATTTAAAAAAAAAAAAGTGAGCGACAAATGAGAGAGACCATTGTTTGAGCAGTTGAAGCGCTTGTTTAAAAAGTTATCTGGACTCTGACAAGCCTGTTAGATTGACAAGACGTGTGTAAAATTAGTTTGGGGTGCAATCTGCAAGAACTGCTCTTTTTCCCAAAAGAGAAATCTGTAACAGATTGTAAATATCTTATGACTTTAAAGACTACTATACAAATTAACTATTTCTTCTTCCCTACGTTTTGAAAAATATTAGTAAAAGACGGAAAAAAAAATGCCTGCATGAAGTAATCAACTTCTGAAACAGTCCCAAGGCAAATTCAAATCAGAACTCGTTCCACGAGTTCACTACGTTAGAAAAATAGTTCTTCTGCTTAATCTTCAACATGAAAAACAAACAAAAAAAATCAATGCTGACAACGAACAGTTGGTTCCTTTTAGTGAAACTGGTCTGGGCAACTAGAAAAGCCGAAGCTCTAGTGGAAAAAGTCAATGCCCATCCACAGTATTAAAATACAGAAAACTTCGCAAAAAAAAAGAAAGAGCCAAGAAAAAAAAATGGCGTGTGCCTCACATGACCACGAAGAGCCGCTCCGGGTCTGGTTAATTTTAGCGACTCTTTGGATTTGGGGAAGGCGGGTTTTATTCATTCACTCCAGGAAACCGAGCACATCAAACTGGAGCCACGTCACCGGGTGCGCGCGGTCCGGGCCCGGGAGCGGCGGGGCAGGTTCCGGGGTCCGCTCCCCGGGAAGAAGCGGAGACGGGGGGTGCACAGCGGAGGAATGAGGGGTGAGAGGTAATTCCTGAAGGCACACTGAGTTTACTCCTGAAGTCTTTCGGCGTTCAGATCAATGCTAGAACTCCTCTGTCCCAGCTTCCAAAGTGGCGGCTAAATCTGAGCGCCGCGCCGGCACGCACTGCCTTACCTGGGCCATGGCGCCGTGTCGGGTCAAGCGCAGGTGATGCAGGACTACGAGAGAGGAGAGACAGGGCCGGTCAGGAGAGCCCCTCGCCGTCGCACCGCGGCGCCCCCATCGACCCCCGCCCTTTCCGCCGCTCGGGGGCAGCTCCTGGCCGAGCGTCGCACGAGCCCAGGCCGCGGCCACCCCGTTCCCCTCTCCCAGGCCAGTTGGCCACTCACCCAGACGGGGGGACCCAAGTGCGGCGCGGGGAGGCGGCGGGAAGAGCGAGCCGAGACACGGACGCGAGGACCTGGCAGCTGCTTTCCAAGCAGCGGAAATGCCCGCGGCCCCGCCCCGGCCCCTGTCCCCGCCCAGCCCCCGTCCCCGCCCGGCCCCTGTCCCCGCTGAGCGCCGCCGCCCGGGTCCCGGTCTCGGTGCGCCTGCGTGGGCGTGGCCCCTCCACGGCCGCCTCGCCGCTGCGCAGAGGCCCCGCGGGTCCCACTGGCCTGGGTGGAGCTCGGGGCAGCTGCGTTGGACCTGGAGCCGGCGTTGCTGCCCCGAGGGCCTCAGGGAGCGCGGGATCCTCACTCAACCGGAAGGGAGTGGGAAGCTGTGGAAGACTCGCGACTTGGGGTCTCCTGTCTCCATCCCGGTGGGCGCGGGAGCCGGGGCCGAATTCCACTGCTCCGACCCAGCAGTGCGCGGGTGTCTTTTCCGAGGCGAGACAGAGCCATTGCAGCTGATGACAGCCCGTCTGACCCAAAGCGTGAAGCTTTGTGGGCCATTTCACACTTTGTTTTATTGTTTTTTAAAGTTTTTTTTTTAAGTGTTGATGATTGCTTTAGATAGTCTTTTAGTAGTGTATGTGGCTATTTCAAAAACCTCTGCCTGCAACCAGTTTCTGTTTTCAAAGTCGGCCTGTAACTTTAATAAGAACCATGCCCTATATTGGGTCAGCATAAAATATATGATACAATTTATGGAAGTAGGGGAGGGAGGGAGACTCTTCAGGGTATTGTGCTAGGATGATACTGGAAAAGCAAAAGTAGAGAGACACATAGTCCTTCTCAGACTTACTGATGTGGGGGGCGGGGAGTCATGGCTACAACGCAAGAGAAAAGCTTGTAACACTAGACACGATGTCCTAGAGGCAGATATTCTAGGATGAAAAGTGCAACCTGCAGCGGGGAGATTCAGGACAACAGATTAGAATTTCGTCTTTGAGAATGAGTAAGAATAAATGCAGAGCAAATGTGGTTCTTGTAAGGAACTGCAGAATAGAGACCACGCCAGGTGTGGAAAAGAAAGATTTATTCCAGACTGCTGGGCTGACCCTCAGGTTCAGGGTGGAGCGGCTTGCCTGGAACGGTAGTGGGCTTTATAGGAGGGGCCAAGCCATGGGGGAGGAAGAGAGTCTTTGGTCTCCGATTATCTGTGGTCACCAGGTGGAATGGGTGGACATGCCTGGCTAGTTGAGAAACTGGAAGTTCCTGAGATTTTGCAAGCAGGGGAACAAGCAGGGAAGTTTGGCAAGCGGTCATAAATCAGGGGGTCTTGGTTTCAGTATAACCCTTGGGACCTTCCGCCAGCCCCAGGAATGCCAGGGACCTAACAGTTCTTTGTGCAGAATTTCTCATTTGCTTTCACGTGTGAGCCACAAAATCCCATCCTAACAAAGTCACAGCAGAGTGGTTGTTATCTGCAAAAGGGAGCGAAATGCAAAGAAAGTGATTCTTACCACTCTTCCTTTGCTGCCCAGACTCCTGTCGCGTTGCCTCCCTTCTTCCCTGGAGCCTCCTCTCCACCAACCCTGGGGCTCTACCTGGCCTCATGTCCCCCACTTCACCTCTCTCAAGGAGATTGTTTTTTCATGGGGTGTGGGAGAGGGGTCTTGCTATGTTGCCCATGCTGACCTCAAACATTCCAGCTCAACCTCCTGCCTCAACTTTCCTGGTGCCAGGACTGAAGGAATGTGTCATAGCCCAGCTTCCAGGGTATTCTTTAAAGACCCATACATCTGAAGACATCTTTCTGTCACAATAGTTTTCCACCTTCCATCTGCCCAGTAGTTACCTTAATTTGACCTACAGCATTCTTTTTCCCACCCACACCAACTTGAACTGCATTTTCCTACTTTCACTTTCTACTCTGCCAATATGGAACTAGACAAACCTCAGAGTGTCTATATTTAAGAATGTTGATTGGTATGATTTGAATATTTAATGATCCCCCAGACTCTGTGTATTAAACACCTGGTCCCTAGCTGGTGGCACTATTTGGGGAGGTTCTGGAAACTTTAGGAGATGGGACTTAGCTAGAGAAAATAGGTCACTAGGAGCAGGTCCTTGGGGGTGGGTAACTTGTCCCAGGCTCCCTTCCTCTTTTCTACTTCCTGTCCACCAAGAAGTGAAGACCAGCTTCTGTCACATTCTCCCACGACCTTGCTGTTCTGCCCAAGTGTCTAGGCCCAAGCAGCCATGACTGAACCCTCTGAAAATATGAACCAAAATAGATCCTTCCTTAAGTTGTTTTGTAAGGTATTTATCACTGGGATGAGAAAAAAAAAACTAATACAAAAAAATTGTTACCAGAGAAGTGGGGGTCATTGCTGTTGACTAAACCTGACAATGTGTTTTTTAGGCCTTGAAACTGGTTTGTGGGAGGAATTTGGAAAAGTTTGAAGAAGCTGGCTAGAGAAAGCCTAGAATGCTGTACACCGTGCTGAATGGGAAATTCTGGTGGGAGCTCATGAGAGCAGAATGCAAACAGGAATATGGACAGTGAAGGCAAGGCTTATATGGTTTCAGTTGAAAACAAGGACTATATCAGGAATTGCTCATACCTGTTACATTCTGGGAAGACAATTATCTATATTCTGTCCATGTCCTGACAGTTTGAGGGAGGCTGGATTTAGAAGCAATAGACCAATTAACCTGGCAGAGATCTCAAGACAGCATTGCATTTAGGTTGTGGCATGGTTATTGCTGGCTGCTTCTCATTAAGTTTACAGTGACAATCATGAACAAAAAGCAGAGCAGATAGATTTGAAAAGCATGTAGTCTGACTAGAAAAGAAGCTAGTTGAAAATTGTGGACAAGAAGGGTGTGGTGGTAAAACAGATTAGTCCCATTAAAAGGAAGCCAAGCACATTTCACTAGGACAACGGGAAAGATGCCTTGAGCACATCTCAGGAATTAGCCAGGCTCCCTTATCATGGGCTCCAGGTATAAAATTGTAAGCTCATCCAGAAGACTTTCCCTTGAGAGAAGAGTCTGCTTTCACAAGGCCACCTGAAGTGTTTTCCCAGATTCAGTCACTCCATGAGAATCCAGCTGCTTCTCAAGCTATCAGCAGACCTTGGTGTCATCTACATAACGCTGGCATGCAGAATGCAAGAGTTATGGGGTGAAGTCATAGACACTTCCACCCAGATTGCAAAGGAAGCCTGGTACGCCAGGCGATGTGTCGCTGGGTCAGCATCCCCGCCTCAGCCGCTGAGTAGATCATACATGAAGCTGTGAGGATGAACCCTAGCTGCAATGGAGATACTAGAATGTCAGAGATGCCAGAAATGTGGAAAGTATCCTGAGGAAGGCTTTAGGCAATGAGAGAAGCCAGCTCAAGAGAGAGGTCATGTGAGCCAGAAATAGCAAGCTGCCTAAGCCCATTGAAGCTGACATCCAGCCACACATGGAAGGACTTAATGTTTTCCCTGCCTGGCTTTCAGTCTATCTGATCCTTCCTTGATGTTCTGCTCCTCCCTTTTGGAATGGAAATGCTTACTCTGTACCACTGAACAATGTTGGAATTGTTGAGGCTTAGAACTCTTGGAGCAGAACTAAATGCATTTTAAATTATGACATGGCCATAAGCCTTTGCGAGCCAGAGGCAGACTGTTCTTGTTTGAATGCAAAATATCCCTTACAGGCTCGTGTGTTAAATGCATGGTCCCCAGCTGGAAATGCTATTTGGGGAGGTTCTGGAAAGTTTAGAAGGTAGAGCCTAGCTGAAGGAAGCAGGTGACTAGAAGTGTGGGTCCTTGGGGATATCTTGTCTCTGGCCCTTTCCTCTCTGTTTCTCACTCTCTCTTTCTCTCTGCTTCCTGGCCACTATGATGTAAACTGCCTTGCTCTACCAGGCCTTCCCCACCACGATGGACAAACCCTCTGAGTCCATGAGCCAAAATAAGTCCTTTCTCCCTTAAGTGGTTTCTTTTGGCCACAGCTGTAAAAAGTACTTGACACATGGATGTTACAAGAAGATGATGCCTATCCTGGGTTAGCTAAGTTGTGACAGAGAGATGAATTATTAGAACTACAGTCTTGATATGCCCTAGTAAATACTTCTTTTACTTCAAATTGCATTGATTTATTCAACTGGACCAGGCTCAGTTCTAGATGCTAGAGGTAGCAGAGTCAACAAAGCGAAGTCTTTGCCTTTATAGTCACAGTCTGATGGAGCAAACAGAAAATAAATATCAAGTATGTCCAAGTGTGATATGCTGTATGAGGAAAATAAAGCCAGGTGCATTTAAAACTAAAGGTCTTCTTTTACAGCGTGTTTGTCTTTGTGTTATGTTAATTATAAGTTTTGCAAAATAATTTTGGTTTCTTTGTTATACTGTTCTTGGTCATAAATAATAGATTTCAGCTATTTATATGAGACGATCAGATCTTATCAGTTTTATTTAGTTTTGTTTTAACTCAGGGGCCTTCAGTACTCTATCGCTTGAGCCATGCCTCAAGCCTTTTGTGCTTCAGTTATTTTTCAGACAGGGCCTCATTCTTTTGCCCAGAGCTAGCCTCAGACTGGAATCCTCCTACTTCTGCCTCTCCTGTAGTGAGGGTTACAGACATGAACACCATGCCTGGCTTGTTTTTCATTCTTTTTGTTTCGTTTGGTTTTGGTTTGGTTTGGTTAGGAGTTTTGTGGAAGAACTAGGGTTTGAGCTTCAGGGTTCACCCTTTCTAGGCAGGCACTCCACTGCTCAAGCTGTGCTTCCAACCCTTTTTGCTCTGATTATTTTTGAGATAAGGTTTCACTTTTTGGACCACAATCATCCTATTTGTGCTTCCTTCAGTAGCTGGGATGACAAGTGTGTGCCACCATGTCCAGCTCTCTTTTGTTGTGACTGTTATTGCTGCTTTCTGTTTAGCTGGGGGCCTCATGAAATTTTTCTTTCTTTCTTTCTTTCTTTATTTATTTTGCCTAGGCTGGTCTGGAACTGTGACTCTCCCAATATCAGCCACCCAAGTAGCTAGGATTATAGGCATGAGCCATCAGCACCTGGCTTCCTGGCTTGTTTTTTGAAATAGGGTCTTGCTAATTTTTTGTC